ATATTCATTTTGACCGTTATCCAATGCAATTTAACAATATTTTTGCATGATACCTGTAGGTAAGGACAGAATAATGGACTCTTTTGCCCAAATGGGGTTTAAAAAAAAAAAAAAAAAAAAAAAAAGATTTAAAAGAGATTTTTCCATAACATCTGCATAAATCAAAAAAGAGTAGCCTCAGAACGTTTAAATTTTGTATATGGGACTGCTATAACATGTAGTTGTGCAAGTCTCTTTTTGGTTACAATCAGCCACAAATCATCAATTTAAATCTGGTAAGACTGCATGCAGAAATTAAACAATTAAAAATATGAAACCCTAATTTATGAAATAAAGAGCAATTATGATCTAAAGGGTATCAAATTTACAAAAAACAAAAAAAAAAAAAAAAAAAAAGCTTAATATTTATATGTTTACTTTATTAAACATTTCTTTCAATGCGCCCATGCATAATGTATGCTCATTCTTTACGCACATGCGTAAAGTTTGTGGCTTTGAGGTCCGGATTATAGGTCATTCTGGATAATGGACGTCTGGATTACGGACTTTGTATTGTCTACGAATTGAAGCTGTTATTACAGAAATTTCACCAGACAGTTGTTTCTGCAGTAAGGATATCAATTTACACAATGCCTTTATTTTCTATATGCACTGAGGAGCTGGTGCTTGTAGTTGTCTCTGCTGCAACATTTAGTCTTCTCCTTAGGGTTTTGCACTTTCTGTTGGCAGAGATGATGGCTTCTAGGCTATCAGTGCTACTGCAGTTACTTAATTTGTCTTCTTCATTAATGAGAGGGAGTGTAAACAGTCTAGTAAGGAGTCTGATCTTGTTGCCATGAAGTTTGTAGTGTGAGGATTGTCGCCGATATTTTGATGTTTGTATTAAAATGAATGTATTTGTAGTCAGAAGTGCTTTCATCATCTAGGATTTCCCAGTCTTGAATCAGGTTAGTAATGTTACTGGTAAAAAGACTGGAGTAAGGTTTGACCAGCTCTTATTATAGGAATTTATGAAGAGTTTGTGGGGCATCTGCACTGTTATGTAGATGGAGATTATGTGCTGAAGCAGTGTTTTTGTGCTCGACAGGATTTGTGGTGGTGTAACTCCATATGCTGTTGTGGGCACTGAAATCTCCATTTATAATTTGCAGAATGAGCATGCACACCTTAACAGCACACTAATGGAAGAGAGTAAAAAGTGCTCATGATGATTTCTATGTAATTAAACTGAAGAAGAATGTATGTAAAATCTCTTATCAGTAATGATATTGATGGGTATTGCAGCTTTTGGTACTTGTTCATTATCTGTGCATTGTATTATTCTCTATGTATGGGAAAATCAAACTGCAATTTTAAAAGCAGAAATTGAAGCAAAATACACTGAACTAACCAACTGTCAAAGTGTTGTCTTCCATCACCACTATGCTTGGCCTCATATTTTGATGAATGTCAGACAAAGCTATAATGAGCATGGATGGGATGTTTTGTATCATGCCACATATTCATCAGACCCTGCTTCCTTGAAATTTTTTCGCAGGCCACTTTAAAATTCTTTGAAAAGCATGGAATTAACTTCTTTAGAGAATGTTAAATAGCACAGTGAAAACTTCTACACTAATAAACCTAATGACTTTTTTAAAAAAGGAATATTCCAGCTGCCAGAGAGACGGCAAATGTCACAGAATAAAATGGTGCCCATGTGATTCAGAGAAAGTTACTTATGTTTTTGTACTGCTTCATATGTATTGTGCATGAAAACTGCAGAAATTTTCAGATGACTTAATAGAAAACTAATTTATAATTATTAAAAGAAACAGTAAAGATTCAAAGCCTAATGGAAAAGAAAGCACAGCATCAAGTCTCAACATCAGTGAAGTAAGCAAAGGAAAAGATTTCAAATTGACCAACAGATTAAAAGAATTTCAAGAGATGCTATGACCAGTTGTACCACCAGTGGGAGAAAACTTAGAACAAAGCAACTTAGAACTGAAGGAGTTCTAGGGTGATCCGAGAAGTTCTACGATTAGTTACAACAGGAGACAGAATGACGCAACATGAAACCAGCACACATTATCAGCCACACTGTTGGAGAAAAAAGCCCAAATAACCTAATCCTGTGGAAAGTCAGCATCAATCTATGACATTACATGAGCAATGGGAATGAAGGAAAAGACCCTTCAATGATGACCCATGGCAACAATCAAAACACAGAATCGAACTTGATGAAGTAGGATATCTAACCACGGACAAGCTCGTAGACAAGCCAACAGCTCGCTATGGAAATTGGAATCCAAATATAAGTGCAATTTATTTATTTCTATTCAAGTGAAATCTTATTTCATGCTTTTATATGCAAACAATACTGCTAGTAATGCTTTACTCCAAATGAGTATTTACAAATTATAAATAGCAACTGTCTTTTTTGCCAACTTTAATGTGTTCTGTAAAATTTATTTTGTGCATTTCCACACTCATCAGTCTTTTTAGTTTAAAAAAACTGTAAACAGTCCAGAAAACTTTGCAGTAGCGCAAGTAATAGAAACTTGATGTATGTGTTTATGCATTGTATATGTGAAATTAAAACTTTAGTGAATGTAATGAAAACTTAATGAATTTAAATTACATTGGAAATTTATATTGTGTAAATAAAAAATATTAGGAATTTAATTTTAGTGTAAAGGGAAAAGGGGTTATTAAGGAAAATGCATTTGAAGTGAAAATTAGTGCATAGTACAAAAAGGGAATTAGAAGTTGGTGGCAACACTGTATTTACATATTAAAATAAATTAAAATGGACACATTAGCTTAGATTTCAGATAAGGTGTCTTTGAGGTTATAAGGTATTTTTGCACTCCTTTACATATGCCTTCCTGGTGTAACTTGGAAGCACACTCGTCAAGCATTCGGGAGGTCCGGAGTTCGAATCCCGCGAAGGGCACTGCACATTTTCCACATTCCTGCATCTGTATAACCAAATGACTCTACAAGGTCTAGTGAGTTTAGTGAATTAACCTAACATGTCATTAGTTTTAAATTGCTCATTACCCATTTTACAGAGATTTTGCTCATGTGAAATGCACAAAACAGTTTTAGATAGATCAAATCTTGCTGCTATCTCACTGGTTACTAATCTTTTGATATTTTTTAAAATTTTCTCTTGATATATAAATGCATTGATCAGTGGTGCATTGAACTTTCAAGTATACAAAGGTGAAAATCTTTCATAAAATTTAGAAATAACTTTTTCGACTTCCAAAATTTAGAATTAATCATGCGACAGTTTAACCCTCTCTTGAGGTTTTGCTACGAAAGCCGAAATTTCCCAAAACTGTCTTTGAGAAAGAAGTCTTTTCTTGATTTTAATGCCAAAATGCCCCTGGTAATTTATAACAATAATATGCCATGCTATACATAAAATACTTTTAATATACAGTCAAAAAGTCATTAATTCAGACACCCATAATCCGGAATGATCTATAATCCGGACCTCAAAGCTACAAACTTTCTGCGCATGCGTCGCGTTTACGTGTGCTCGTAAGACCTTTACGGCTGTGACTTTGCCTGTGCACATGCGCATAATACGTTTACGCATGCGCGTTTAACGTATAACGGACGGTATAAGCTGAGCTAAAATTATCTAATTCAGTTAATGTTGCAGATTGCGTTGTTCCTTAATCTTCGAATTGGATCAGGCTTATTATTTTTTGCAGACTGTTAGAGCAATTTTATAAAAGTAAGCTTGAACTTTCGATTATGTCAAACAGAATTTCCGATATATATTTACTAATATGTACAGGATCTACAAAGCAAAAGTATGTTTCGAAGTCCATTAAACAAAAAGTGGAATTGCTGCAAAAAATGGAAAAAGGCATATCCTTTGTTTCTTAACCATTCCGAAATCTGTTTATCAATTTCATGCTGCTCTGCGGGGGGGACATCGCAGCGCGCAATGAACTGGAAGTTGATTTGTCAGCACTATCCTTATCTTCAGGACAAATGTTTTTATTTTATTCGGCTTATAATTCCTTACTAAATGTAGTATTTCATCTCGATGTATTCCGTCTTTGATATGATTTAAATCAAATTCCTTGTCATTATAAATATCACAAGTACACATCAAATAGTTTTCTGGTTGCAATTTTCTAATTTCGACTATGCTTAATGTATGCTTTACGCATGTGCTTGCTTGTTGAAAGAAATGTTTAATAAAGTAAACAAATAAATATTAAGCTTTTTTTTTGTAAATTTTGATACCCTTTAGATCATAATTGTTCTTTATTTCATAAATAACGGTTTCATATTTTTAATTTTATAATTTCTGCATGCCATCTTACCAGATTTAAACTGATGATCTATAATCCGGAATCGCCAAAGTCCCGACGAGTCCGGATTAATGACTGTATTTATCATCTTAATTTCTTGGACATATTCAGTGCTGAGTATGAGCCACATAACTCTGCCATAGAGGGTAACAAATCCTTCGACACTTATTTCTTTTATTTTGCTATGCATTAGCTGCCTAACTGAAAGTAAAAAAAATGTTTTTTTTACAAAATCATTTACCACGAGTATATTACGTCTAAAAGAAGAAAATACAGTAGAAAATGAAATTAAATACTACACTAAAACTACAATGACTTAACTAAGTTCTTTTTCACCCCACCCTCCCAAATGTGATTTTATGATGTAAAACTACTGCTGTTATTTAATCCAAACCAGAACTAACCTTTCCCATTTTAATGAAATTTTAGTCAGCAGCTTTATTTAGAAGAGAAAATAGGAACGAGCTTTTTATTTGTGAATCAGTTTATGATAGATAATTATCACAGGACAAGAAAGATGATTTAATAATGAATATATATTGACATTCTAGAAGAAATAAGCAACGAAGCATGCCAAATTAAGTCATAATATTGAGTTTTGATATTGAGAACTTATATGAAAAATTCTTGTAAAATTCTTTTAAAATAATAACATTAGTACAAAAAAATTCAGATTACCTGTTAATAAATCCATAGCCATTCTTCACATTAAACCATTTTACTGTGCCCTGAACTCTAGTTGCTGGGAAAAGAAGGAGGATAAGAGAACATTATATTTTGCTTAACATAATGAGAAACAATTTCTGCACATTGAAACTAAGTACTTTTAAAGGCTTATGAGAATCATTAATGAAAAAATGTTAAGGTCCTATCAGCAAAGGAAATTGAATAAACTAAAGCAATTATCTATACCCGAACTTCACTTCTGTAATACCACTCTTTAAGAATAAAATAAACCTGTAAGTAAGATTTATTATTATTAAACATCATATAATACATAACATAACTATAAAAAAAAACTGAGAATGAAATCAAGTTCGTAAAATTTATTACATAATTAGCATTAAATAACAAAAATCCTCCAAATTTTACACTTAAATTACTTATATTTTACACTTATAATAGTCAAACATAAAGATTAGTGGCATTTAAGTTTTACTAACAATGTTTTTATTTTGATTCTTCCTTTTTATGCCTCGTTTTGTCATGCACTCTCTTAGTCCAGAGGTTATGCAAATTTTATGTCAAATGGCAAATGTTAAAATGAGATGTAAAATTATAATAAACATGATTTGTAGCAGAAGCTTGGCTGCTGCCTGCTAAGAGAGAAAAACACTGCTCAAAACAGACATGTACACCTGAGATTGTTATGTGATGAAAGTTAGTTGCTCTTTCTCTGACTCAGTTAATGCTCTGGCTTCACTTTGAGCTGCTGGAGTTATACTCTAGTTAACATAGAGTATTTAATGTATAGTTCCAATAAGCCACTGAAGCACCAGAGGTGCTAAGTTGTTTTATATTATTTCAAGTATCATTAACTGTAAGGAATAAAGCTTTATGTTAATTTTTATGTTCTTGTGTGAGATTTTACATCCACAGTAAGGATTAAGGAAAGATTACACCTCACCTTAACATGCAGAAATAAGTTCCAAGAGTAAGTTAGTTGCAAATACTTACATTATGTAGTTGATATTGAGTCATTATAGATTTACATGGTCACTATCATAAAAAAAATATATGTTAAAAAAGCACAAGTCCCATGTTGTACAAGCACGGTAAGATTGTATGTGTTCAAAATAATAAAAAAAATTATAATCTGAGACCATTTTACATTTTAAAATACAGATAAATAGGCATGTACTTTGTGATATTGATTCTAAGGCAATATTAGGATAATTACACATGAAAAACTACAAAATGTATATTTTGTAGCAACAACAACAACAAAAAAAAAAAAAAAAAAAAAAAAACATCATGCAAATTATTGCATGTGTATAAACACGTTATATACGAAAACGTGTATAAATGTCGAATGAACAGCAATATGTATATAAACATAGATACATTTATGCAAGGGACACATTTATGTATGCATATCTAGCTACAAATTTATATGAGTGATAATATACATATGCATATTTACCTATAACACATGAAGAAATAATAATATGCATATATAACTAAGTTAATGAAAACATCGAAAAACAATAACATTTATACATGCGCTTTGAAACTCATACAATAAATAAAATCATAAAAAAGTCTATAAGGTTTATTCCTCACAAAGATTGGATCAAACAACTGATCAACAAATGAAAAGCCCCCCCCCTTTTTTTTTTGAAAAGGAAAAACATGAATGAAATAACTAAAATGAAAAAATAGCGCACCACATTAACTAAAAATAGCAACTTTAATGGAAAAGAAAGAAACCACATGAAATTAAATTAATCCTCTATTCAATATAATAAAAAAAAAAAAAAGCAATTAACATCTGTAAAAATGAATTTTAAAAAAGAAAATTATTTATTTATATTATATTCATGACATATATCTACTCTTTAAACCAGAGCTATTTTACCCTAAATTTTAAACAGCAATAAGAGTGCAGTTTAAAAATTTATGGACTATATTTATTTTTAATCAATTTATTCCTTTCTATAAAAATAAGGGAAGTAAACAAAATCTCAGTCGTGATCATAACAAAGCCAGAAAGGCTTGTTTGTCTGACCTTCAAAATAGGTTATAAAGAACGGGATCAAAGGCTAATGGAATCTTTGTTAGAGAAAGTACAAAGGATATCATTCGAAATCTTCACACCTGATTTCTGCGTTAATGGATGGGGAGGAGAGGAAATTGGTGTGAAACTGGAAAAGTATTTTGGGCGGTTTGGGTATTTTGAGGATACACCTTGGGTCTGGATTTCAAAGAGTTAAGTCAAAAGTTTGAAACTTGACGTCTAAATGCAAATATAAAATTAAGCCTGCTTTGTAACTAAGCACATAGGTCAGGTTAAGTTTTTCAAATAGGGTAAAGCATGCAAGGGCTCTCTGCCTAAGGAGAGAGATGCCTTTATTGAGCAATTTTGAAGGAAAACTAAGCTTTAAGATGCATTAAAAATAGTGCATGTAATTTTCATTCAATTTATATTTATGGTACTTACATATTATGAGGACTACCTAGATATCTCATCAGAACTGGCGGCCCTTACAGGTTATACAGGTTAACCCTAATACAGGTTATAGAGGGCACTAAAATAAAGAGTATTATCTTGCACTAGTCCCGCACTTGCTATTACTACACCCTTTTTTTTACTACATTTACGTGGATTATTATGTTTAATTAAACACATAACACTTTTTATGATTATTTTTTCCCCAATGGATATCAACATTTTCCAGCTTAATTCAAATTAAGAAGAAGCGACAGAATCTTTCAGAGAAGCTGGAATTTTACCCAAACAATGCGTTTGTAAAAACGGCCATGATATGAAGTTTTATAATAAAGGATTTTATTGGAGATGCAATGTCAAAAAAGTTTGGTGTCCGAACTGGTATGTGGTTTGAAAATAATCGTATTGAATTTTTAAAAGCTTTAACATTTATTTACTTTTGGGCATACGAACGTCATCCATTAAATGAAGCAAACAGTTGGATTTATTCGATAAGACTGTCACTGATTGGAATAATTATATGCAGAAAGGATTTGGAGGATAATCAAAATATTAAAGTTGCGAGAGCCCAGAATGATTGTCGAAATTGACGAAAGCCTTTTTACACGTCGAAAGAATAATCAAGGTCATATCATGCCACAACAGTGAGTCTTCGGTGGAATTTGGCAGGAGACAAAAGAAGAGTTCCAGACCAGAAGACAACAAAATTAATACATCAAATCCAAAATAATATTGCTGAAGGCTCAACAATAATGTCAGATTCGTGGCCTGGATATCAAACAGAGGAGCTCATTGCTGCCAGTTTTGAACATTTTAAGCTGAATCATCAATATAATTTTGTTGACCAATCTACGCACACTTATATTCAACATATTGAAAGGATGTGGGGTTCTGCAAAATGGAAGAACAAGCGACAATGTGGGACCATACACCTTATAAGAAATAGATTAACCCAAATGGGTTTTTCTCCCTTGTCTGACGTGTTCCCGGCTGTCACCTTGATCACATCCGGAGGAGTAGGGACGACATGCAGAAATTTAACAGTGGTTGCCTATTGCAGCATATATAATTGTTAAAAAAGAGCTGGTTGTAGCGCCTCATTTCACAAATAAGAATTTCTACATATTTTTATTTTTGAAAATGACATTGATTTTTAAAAATTTAGCATATTTATCAAGCATAATTAACGTTCCAAATAATTATAAAGCTATTGCACGCTTTCAGGGTTGGATATTTTTTTAGCTTTTCCTATGCGGTAATTTCCTATTTCATAATGCATCATAGTGATAAACACTTTTGACTCCTTAATTTTTATACATTTAATTCTAATATTAAAATTGCATTTAACCATAATAATTAATTTTGCTTGTATTTTATAGTGATTATGTTTTTAAACTTATTTTTAGTTCTGCATAAGATTTTTTTTATTTACTGTTCGTTTAATTTATTAGCTCGAAACGGTGTTTTGCGCTGTTTCACTATAAATGTCCGTGTCTCTTGCAAATTGTTGTTAACAAAAATTATCGCCCTGTATTATATTTAAAGAAATTAAATAATGAAGAATCTGCACGAATACATGTATGTTTCTCGCACTGTGACAAAAATGACGGTATCTAGAGCCATCAAATTTTGAATAATGTAATCTTCCACCCGAACACGGGCATCTGGACAGTCGAATTTTGAATTTGTTTTAATCTATTTCATATTTTGTAAAACTTTAACGAATTTTTGATTAACAGACTCAACAAGTTCAAAGCGAGCAATGGTAACACTGTACGGAAAATAATATTTTTATCTCCAGTGCGAAAATTCTAAATATATGCTGTTTTCAAATGTATGTGGTTTACGGGAGAAGAACATGATATTCAATAAATAATGCACAAAACTTTAAAAAAAGTTCCTTTTGGACGTAATATAAAATCTGAGTGATTCTAGATTTTATTTTACCTTTTTTTTTCCCCTTCATTACACTCAGAAAATTTTATGCTCCGAATTTTATAAATTACCAAAATAATTAATCCACTTTAACGTTAATTTAATGATGATATAATCAAATAAATAATTGCTTTAGAATGTTGTTATAGTTTTGAAAATCACTGCCTGAAAATATTCATTACATTAAAAAAAAAAATATCAGATTTTGTTTAATTTTACCTTATTTATTTTAAATCATTGCATACTATCAATCTTATTTAATTTTAATTTACTTTTACGCAAAATTAAGTTCATAAATTTTGTGCTTAGAGTTTTTACCAATTTACCAAAGTAAAAACGTTTGTACAAGAATTACACGGGAAAAAAATGCGCGAAATGCAGTAAAAAGTGCTTTAATGAGATATATTAAATCCTATTTGAAAAAAAATGCGACTTTCATAATCTCATCACTATACAACGTATCACATTTAATAATTAAAAACAGTTATGTGATACAAACGCCATTGGTTTCAATGTTAAAGTAAACCAGATCATCCCTCCTCTTTCTTACGGACATGTCGGTGATGTGCGCCCCGCCCAATGGGTTAGTCTATCTCTTATAAGGTCCATTTGTGGAACAAGCCGCCATCATTTGGATA